AGTGTTGGATGCCTCCTATATAGAATCCTGTTTCCAAGATCCAACATGCCGTTGTGAAGAACATTCTTGCAGAACACACGAGGGCACATTTCCCTGTGGAGATGGCCAATGTGTCAACGAATTTGGTGAATGTTATAATGGACGATATAGGTTACTGATAGAGTCGATGACAGCCAAAGGTAATCTAACAGATGAATGTTGGATTGCTATGATTTGTCTCACTAGACTCGCCGAGCAAATTCATGGAAAATCATGTAAAATATGGCTGATGAACGACTCAATTTACGAGTTTCTCAAACAATGTGACTCGTTTTTCCAATTTCCAATTATACCAGTTCATTCTGCTCACATTCGTTTCTTTTATGAAGAGCCTTATTTAAGACAGCAAATGAATGATTTTCTTCTGCCTGATTATCTTTGTTACGATCAACAACTATGTGATCCTATTAAGCCGGATTTAATGCGCGAAAATCTCACTTGTATAAATATGTCGAAAATAATGCCAAAACTGGATATTAAAATCGGATTTTGGAACGAACTGATGTGGTTGATCGAACAACTATTTCGTCCTTGTTTGATTTCCCATACGATCTCATCCGATAAAATAAAAAAATATGTGAATCATTCGTTATTATATAACTGTCGTAACTCATCGAAATTTATTTCTGTACATCGCATCAAGGATGGTATACAAGATTGTTTCCATGCTGATGATGAGAATTATCTAAACAGTTGCCAACTTAACCATCAACACCGAGTGACATGTCCCAATACAGATACATGCTGGTCCCCTATATGGAAAGAGTATGCTTGTTCAATGACCAGACAGGTGGATAATATTCCGTTTCAACGTTTTTGTAATGGTATCAACCAATCCATTTACAACGATAATTCTGGACAATATTATAATGATGAGTTCGAATGTGAAGAGTGGTTATGTGACAATATGTATGCACGTTGCGACGGCTTTTGGGCATGTGCCGATGGACGCGATGAGAACAATTGTAGTCAAACAAAATGTCGTTCGGGAACTCACGCCTGTGTAGATCGTCTCAATTTTACAGTAATCTGTTTACCTCACAAACGTGTTAATGATGGAGAAGATAACTGTCTCGGAGCATCCGACGAACAACACGAATGTCAAAGGATCTATCCTCCGAGCGAAGTTCCTAAACGCTTTCGCTGCTTGAAAGATACAATGTGTTTGGTACCATCAGAATTATGCAACAACAATAATGATTGTCCACTTCATGATGATGAAAAATTCTGCAAAACTCATCAGTTCAACTGTACCAACGATTCAACATACAATCGCAGTGAAATAGAAGAAGTTCTTTGCGGGCTGAGTGAACAGAAAAATCGAAGAAGACAGTATTTTTCTCTTCATACATCATCTAACTATCCTTCGTTAGGAAATACCGTCGTCGATGAAAGTTTGTATTGGTCAACAGAACGACATTCTATCGAGAATATCAATATAGATCTCAGTGAAGATAACCTATGGCCATGGTATTGCAATCGCGGACTCGCTGTTGATACTTGGGTCACAAATAATAACTTTGAGAAGATGTGCATGTGTCCACCAAGTTACTATGGCCATTTATGTCAATATCAAAATCAACGTATTAGCCTAACATTACATCTGAGTTCAGTTGATCGACATGCTACTTATGCGATTATTATTATGTTAATCGATGATAATGATGAACGACAAGAGATTCATGCATACGATCAATTCGTATACATAACAAAGGAAAGTTGCAGTACTAAATTCGATCGATATTTATTATTCCCTACACGGCCAAAAGACTTGTCCAAGAACTACAGCATACGTATTGATGCATTCGAAAAAAACAGCATAACGTATGTTGGAAGTTGGCACTTTCCCATTACATTTCTTTTTTTACCTGTCAATCGATTAGCTATTTCGTTGATTTTATCAAATCATATTATTCCGATCTCATCCAATTGCTTCATTACTTGCAACAATGGTACTTGTGTAAAGTACTTAAATAAAGAAAAATATATCTGTCGATGCCACTCTCAATGGACAGGCATACAATGTAATATCCCAATAAATCGTCAAATGTGTTCACAAGATTCATTTTATTTGGGATTAGTAAATAATGAATCAATATGCGTATGTCCATTACATAAGTTTGGCTCACAATGTATGTTCACATCAGCATATCCAACTAATATTTGTCAAAATAATGGTCAATATATACCGGCTGATGTGACTACTCCTGACAGCAGTTATACTTGTGTTTGTCCTGATCAATTTTTTGGTATAAACTGTCAATATGCTAAGGTGAAACTCGATGTTTCTCTAATTGATATGCATATTCCATCGTATATTGCGGCTTACTTCTTCACACTCTCCAACAAGTCTGATCCGATGCAGGCAATTATACTTCGAAAATTGACCCTTTTTCAAGATACTGCTACCTTTCACATTTCAGTACCATTTCATATGGCAATTATACAATCGAGTAACAAATATTATCTTGCTGTACTTCAACAATCTCTGCATACGAATATCACAACATCAATTCGTCCTTCACAGGAGTGTATTCCTGCTGAACTGTTATTGAATTCTACAGTGATGAAAATGGTTCCGTATCGACGAATAATATTCTTCCATATTCTTTGTCATACACATACTAATCTTATGTGTTTCATCGATCCCGCCTATTTATGTTTGTGTACCAATGATCATCATGCTAATTGTATGGAATTCAAACGTGATAGAAATTTTCAATGTTCATTGATGAAACATTGTGCAAATGGAGCACAATGTGTGCAGGATCATCCAATCTGTCCATCTACAAGAATTTGTATATGTCCAGCTTGTTTCTTGGGCGATGAATGCCAATTTTATGCAAAAGCTCTTGGCTCAACATTAGATGAAATATTGGGTTATGAATTAAAACGCAACACAATATTATCTAAACAACCAATCACAGTGATAGTGAGTGCTACTATTACAATGATAATATTTGCCGTAGGATTCATTAACTGTATTTTATCAATAATCGTTTTTGCAAGACAAACATCGCAAAAAGTTGGCTGTGGCATTTATCTTCTCACTGCGTCAATCACTTCATTAGCAATTATGATATTATTCACATTGAAATTTTGGTTGCTTTTCCTCTCTTTTCAATCGATTTTAGAACAACGTGGTTTACAAAATATTCTTCTTTTAAA